TTTTGCATAGGCAAGCCACATTTAATACCATTTCATTGATTATTTTGTTGTATGTGTATGTTTTTAGTAGAGGTATGGAAAGTGGTAATATTTGATTTTTGATGTACCGATTGCCTTGTACAAATCTCCATAGGCAAAACAAATATAGACAAACTATTGGTTACATGGGTCCTCTAAATAGATCACTGGGACATGGCAACTGCATTTCCTATCTCAAGCCACTTCATTTCCCTTTTCCATTATCCAAACATGGGTATTTCCCTATTTATGGGTCAAGTCTATCCATTATCCAAACATGGGTATTTCCCTATCTAAGTCTATCCTGGCCCTCGTTTCCTTATCAAACCTCCTATATCCCAGTATCCAAACGTCACGTATGCTGCTAAGTGCTAATTGCAGTGAATTTTTTTAAATAAATTTACAAAATTTCAGATCGTAACTGTTGTAATACATACCAGGACGAACTCCAATCTTACACACATGATTTTAGATTTTTTTAGATGGGCTGACACAAAACTTGTATTGAATTGTTGGGCTGCTACTCAAGGAGAAAGAACGTAACTGTTGTAATACATACAAGGACGAACTCCAATCTTGCACACATTATTTTATAATTTTTTTAGATGGACTGACACGAAACTTGTATTGAATTGTTGGGCTGCTCTGCTACTTAAGGAGAAAGAACCCTCCAAAAATAGATCTTTTAAGATGGGCTAACATAGAACTTGCCCCTCCTCGCAGAAAGAATAGATCTTTTTAAATGGGCTAACATAAAATTTTACATTGAATTGTTGGGCCCCTCTTCACAGAGGAAGGGTGTATGCTGCTTTTGCAGCGGGCACACGGTATCTTTTTTTTTAAAAAAAAAACTGGGATATCCATTACTCGTCTGCCAAACGATCGGCAGCGACAAGATGGAGCTAGTGATCAGAAACGATCGGCAGCGACAAGAACATTTACATTGTTTTGGATGGAGCTAGTGATCAGCTCTTGTCCCTCAACACACTCGAAACCTAGCTCTGCCAATACATGGGCAGGCCTATTACCACTCTGTGTGTTTAGGCTTGTTTGGCTGATAAACCATGACTAAAAATACTGTTGGCTGATTTGACGTGAGAGAAAAATATTATTCATTAGCTGACTTATAAGCCAAATAAACTCAAACAAACAAAGAGGATGTACATTCTCTCCCTCCGGTCTTGCACAGGGCATCACCGAATTGCTGGAGCATAAGGCAGCCCTTGTTTAGTTCCACCTCAACTTCTAAAAAGTTGCTACAGTACCTGTCACATCGAATGTTTGCGGCCTGTGTATGGAGCATTAAATATAAACGAAAAGAAAAATTAATTGCACAGTTTGGTGAAAAATTGTGAGACGAACGTTTTGAGCCTAATTAGTCCATATTTAAACAGTATTTGCTAAATAAAAACAAACGTGTTAGAGTAGCTCAAAATCCAAATTTCTCCAACTACCGCGTGAAAAGCGCTGAGCAAATGATTGATCCTCTCTTGGCACCACATCGCCATCGTTGTCACGTATGATAAATCCCCAGCTGCCTGGCGAAAGAATAATTCTCGCTGTGTCCACTGCTCAGTGCTCTTCCCTCGGAGCCGAGGGCCCTCGTAAATAGCAGCGCTCTCCGCTACCGTTTACTTCAGCAAGCAGTTTGGGACTAAAAGTTGAAGCGCTGGCCGTGCGTGCCGTGCGTAAAGAGGGCAACGGGCCCTAATATCCGATACCCAACGGGGTATTTGATCTATTAGAAAATGGGGATGGAATCATATCTTTACCTGTGGATATTTAAATGGGCAAGAATCCATCCCCGACGGGTATAGCGGGTACGGGAACGTTCCTTCATCCCCGTTACCCGTTGAGGAACCCGACTATTTGAGCTGTCATGCGAGTATTAGGCCCAAAGAAGTTCAACATAGGTATTTTGGCCCAAATCTGAATAATCATATATATAGTTTGTGTGTTCTAGGAACCCTAGTTTAATTTTTCCTCACCATCTCCGCCAGCAGCACAAGCACGCCTGCCTCACGAGCGTTCGTGCCCCTCTCTTCCTCAGTTCGGTCTCTCTGCCACTTTTGCTCGTCCTCCTCGCAACCTCGCTTCTCTCCTCGGCATCTCCGAGACTCCGATACTTATATCCGGGTGAAGAAGAAACGTCTCCGATTGCAAAGCTATGACCCCAAGTGTCCTTGTTTATCGGGTATGCAGTACCCGTCGGGTATCTGTTACCCGACCGATGCCCGACGGGTACAGGGATGGGCAAGAATCTATACCCAAGACAGTTAACGGGGACGGGAACGAGATGAATCCTTCATAGCGGGGAAGAGAACGTTCCGACGATACCAACGGGTACATCCCCGTCGCCATACTTAGCCGTGCGCACTACGCTCGCTGTCTATGCTAGCTAACGGGCCGATGGCGGACCGCAAATCAAGGCCTACGCCGTGGATTTCCATTTTCAGGCCAGAGCCAGACGAAGTGAGGTGATGCCCACAGGCCCAGAGGAATGCGTGGCCTAGGCAGCCGTTTGCTGTCCGGCCTAAACAAATGCTGTGAAGGTGAAGCTAGCGCAGGGGCACCGGCGCTGCCAAGCTTGCCCGCGGCCTGCCTCCCCAATTTCAATTTGTGGTGAGTGGTGACTGCTGAAACTGATTGGTCGCAGCCTCGCAAGTCGTAGTTCCGAGTTCCGACGTGTATATCGTCGAGTTTCCAAGAAGAAATCTAGACACTGGATCGTGTCATTGGATTGGTCCTCGTTTCCACGCTTTCCCTCAAGCTCCGTTGATTCTCAGCAGGTCAAGGATTAATTTAAACTAGGTAGCACGTCCAGTGCCATGGATTGAACTTCTTTTAGACACCATGTCCAGTGCAAGGGGACTAAATTTGTTTGCACAAAATGCTATAGGGGTCTACCACGTGAAGAACGGGCTCAAAATCGACCTAACCGACCCCTCGGTTGATTTCATCGATTCGTTGTGTTCTTCGTGCGATCAAGGTTCATTCTAACCTCGGACGTGCTATCCCTTACTAGTGTGTAATTTAATTTGGCGTCACCATGTGGGGAAACAAGAGAAAGAAAATTCCAAACATTCAGTTGCAACAACGAGGCTGGTGGTGAGAATGAGAATTATTCTGCAGGGTAGAGCATGCAAGATGGCGTTTGTTTAAAAAATCGGTATCGCTAGCGCCCGAACGTCCGGACGGATGGGGTGTCCAGACGACCGCACCTGCAGTCCGCTTCCTGCACCATTTTTGCACTCCCACGCGAGGCTCGCGCCTCCCGAAGGCACCATCCTGCCTCAAGGCGCCGCTGACCATTGTTGCAGGAGCGTGGTCTGCCCACCACCATGGAGGCGAGAAACACCGCCGGGAAATCTGATCCACATCGACCAGATAGAGATCCGTTGCACTTGCCTAATTTACTTTTAAAACATCCAGATGCAACACTTGCAACATACAAAAGAATACCAATAAAACACTTGAAACATGCTTCTAAAGCACTTACAAAACACATGAAAACACTTGAAAATCATTACAAACATACACATTATCCCGATAAAACACTTGCAACATATGTGTGAAACGTATGCAACACCCAAATAAACACACTTGTAACAATACGTCCGAAAACACAGATGAAACATTGGGAATAGACCTTTGCATCATACGTGTACAACAATTGCACCATATGCAACATTCTGATCTACTCTTGTAATATTCATCTTAAAAACTTGTAATATACCTCTGAAACATCTAAAACACTTAAAATATACGCTTGCAACAAGCGTTTTCAACACATCACAACATCTCCTTATTACTTGGAAGAATGAAGGCTCGTCGGCGTGTGGAGTTCGCTGGAGGCAGCAGCCCGGCGGTGCTTGTAGGCAGCGGTTTGGCGGCACTCGTAGGTGGCGGGTGGGCGACTGCTGCTGCATGATGCGGCAGGGAGGCAGCGCCGAGCGCCGCAAGCCGCGTAGGGCTGGCCGTCGAGCGCCGCATGTGGGAGCAGAGTGGAGTGTGGCATGTTGGGAGTGATTTTTTTTTAGAACGGATGAGCGGACAATGGAGAGGGTCGTTGGACTAACGACGTGTGCGAGAGCGTGCGGACAGTGGCGTCCGGATGGATGGACCGCTTAATTGTATCACTGTCCAAGAAAAAGAACACGCAAGATGGCCATCGCTCTGCACTTCTGCAGTGGCGTGCCCCAATCTGCTGCTGGCGTCACGTTTCTTTACTTGTTTCGTCGGTCAAACTAGGGCCTCGTTTAGATTGCAAATTTTTGCAATTCGGACACTGTAGCACGTTTCGTTTGTATTTGACAAACTTTGTCCGATCATGGACTAACTAGGCTTAAAAGATTCGTCTCGTGATTTACAACTAAACTGTGCAATTAATTATTTTTTTACCTACATTTAATGCTCCATGTATGTGTTCAAAAATTAATGTAATGGAAAGAGAGTGAAAAAACTTGGAAGTTTGATGGGATCTAAACAAGGCTAGGCATGTGTTAAACCTTTTTTTTAGGACTGCGTGTGCTATCGCTATGTCTACTGACACTGCTGGTATGAATTAAATAAATTCAACCAATTTGAGTGGAGCATCAGACCGTGGAAGCAATTTTGTTTTCAGACTGATCCTTGTTTTCTATCCCAGGTCTTTGCAATTGCAATAGCAAGACAGGGCGCCTTGGTTGGTTGTTGTTACCAGATCCGATCCGATCCCGCTGACTGGTGGGGTCAGCATCCAAGTCAAAAAATCGCAACCCCTGGCACGGGCAGGTGTGGCTGCGGAGCGGAACCGGAGCTCGTAGTCGTAGTAGGTGGTGCTGCCGTGCTGGGGCTGCAGCCCGGGCGGGTGGATCGGACCGGAGGCCCCGACGACGGGGTAGGTGGCGACTCCGCGCCGTGTATTAAACCACTCCCTGCAACCTTCCCTCCACTTCACCGTTTCTTTCTCCCACACCAACCAGGCAACCAAACCTTCTCCAATGGCCGCGCCCGTGTCGCAGCCGCCGGTGGCCGCCAGGGCGTCCACGCGGTTCCTCCCCCGTGGGATAGGCGCGCTTCCGGAGTCCGCCCCCGCGTCCCTCCGGTTCTCCGTCGGCCGCCGCCACCGCGCCGCTCGCCTAGGTCCGCGTGGATGCTCCCCTTCACCTCGTATATTACTTACTGGAATTTGTTTCGTATACACGGCGTTGAGCGGATAGGCATGGCGCGTTTTGTGGCGCAATTGGGCTGGAGAGTGCTGGGAATCCCAGGCGGGACCTGGGGTTGCTTAATTGCAACTCGGTGGATTGCAGCGTGTCCGTTCGTTGGTGGTAAGAGGGTTCTGAAAAATCTTCCCTCTGGTCTCTGGAGAGAGAATAACCTGCCTTATGATGACGGCATGGACATGTTTTGTTGTCATTGATTTAGGAATGATCCCAAATGAATATAGGATTCCAAGATTCTGGTGCTAGTTGGCTTAGTTCAGTATTCAATTAATTAGTGTTTTAGATCTAGTGGGTATCACAACTGGTTCTAAAGTTTGCTATCTTTGTCATTTTTCATCATTGATTTTCATGCTTCAATTCTTATGATACTCTAGCAAATGGCTTATGAACCTGCTACTAGTACATGATTGGCATTTTATTAGAACAAGAATGGAAAAAGTGCCGACGCTTAACACCGTGCGCTTTTGAGAACAGAGGTGAAGGCGTCCGGAAATGTGTTCGGGAACTACTTCCAGGTTGCAACCTATGGCGAATCCCATGGAGGGGGCGTTGGTTGTGTGATCAGTGGCTGCCCACCCAGAATTCCTCTCACTGAGGCAGACATGCAAGTAGAACTCGATAGAAGGTGTGTCTCTTCTGGAGTTACTATTTCATAAGTATGTATGTTTGCTATATTCTAGCAGAATACAGTTCTCATATAGAATTTTTTGGGATAATATCACTCCCATTTCACTAAAATGTTAGTAACATGTGGAATGCCATATATTCAAACTCATACTGGTGTGCTTCGGTTGTAGCATACCCTTATATACATTTCTAGATTATTTCTTTGTTGTTCACCGATGCCAAAGGATGATTTTTCCTCGATATATTGCTAAACCATTTCTATAAGGTTCACTGATACCAAAGGTTGATTTATACAGACGTCCGGGTCAAAGTAGAATAACCACCCCAAGAAAGGAGACTGATACATGCAAAATTCTATCTGGGACACATGAAGGTATGGTACCTCTAGAATAGAGGACAAAATTTCTGGAACTAAGAATGCATTAGCTTCTCTCAGTAGCATGATAATTCTGGTGGGTTTTTTCTCTCCAGGGATGACCACTGGTACACCAATTCACGTTTTTGTCCCGAACACAGATCAAAGAGGCGGTGTAAGTATCTAATTTTCTGGATATATATTTTCTTTATGAATGGAAGCTATGGAAGCTGAACATTTAGAAGGGAGAGTGTCAGTACTATATTTTGTTTCATAAACATATTCGCTTCTACAGGATTACAGTGAAATGGCTAAGGCGTACAGACCATCCCATGCAGATGCAACCTATGACTTCAAGTATGGTGTTAGAGCTGTGCAGGTACCTTTTTTTATGCACATATAAGTATAATGTAGTTATCACACTGTACAACCAGTTCTTACACATTTTGTGCTGGAACTTATGTAAGTAATGACTCTCAGACTTTAATATTTGAATTAAAATATTTGTGCTTGATGAATGGTAGGGAGGCGGAAGGTCATCGGCCAGAGAAACCATTGGCAGGGTGGCTGCAGGAGCTCTTGCAAAGAAAATTCTGAAGCTCAAATCAGGAGTGGAGGTGTGCCCTACTTGGCAACCTTTTTCTTGAACCATTATACTCTTGTGATCAACCATTGTAGTTAGCCTGGTTACTTCATATAAAAAATGCAACGCTAAAAAACGGAAGCTTAATTTTTTGGAATTTTTATATGTAAAATCTATAAGAGCAAACATTGTTAGATCCTGGTTAAACAGCACTCCTCAGATTGCTTGGACTTGGATCCTGGTTCTTGCTTGACCTAAATATGGCAAGCATGTTGTTATGTGTAGTTCAGATCTTGCTTGACCTAGAGTAATAAACTTTCCTTTTATGCTTTTCATTTCCACTGCAAAAATGCAGTCCCTCCCTCTCCTTTTATATATAATCCTGATGGAAGAACATCATATACATGCAGATCTTGGCATTTGTTTCTAAAGTGCATCAAGTCGTACTTCCAGAAGATGCAGTTGATTATGAGACTGTAACCTTGGAACAGGTATCTTCTTTTCACTACCTCCCCCTACAAAGCATTACAGGGATAGTCTTTGCGGTTATTTGCTGAATTCTATCTTATTCTTGTAAATTTCAGATAGAGAGCAACATCGTTAGATGTCCTGATCCAGAATATGCAGAGAAGATGATTGCTGCCATTGATAAAGTACGAGTTAGAGGAGATTCGATTGGTGGGGTCGTCACATGCATTGCAAGAAACGTTCCTCGTGTAAGTGTTGAAGCTCTATGGTTATTTTATTTTGCTTTAGTTTTGATTGCATCGTATCCATTAAGGTTGATCATCCATTTCAAATTTTATTTTGAATCTGATAACTGGTTTGTTTGGGGCAACAACAATTTGTAGGGTATTGGCTCTCCTGTTTTTGACAAACTTGAAGCTGAACTGGCAAAAGCTATGCTTTCTCTTCCTGCAAGCAAGGGGTTTGAGATTGGCAGTGGGTTCGCTGGTAAGGAATCATTTTCATTTATGTTCTAGGAAAAAGGAATCATTTTGTTTCCTTGAATACAAAAGGAATCATGTACATTTTGCACAGGACTAGTTGGCGTTGTTTGCAAATAGGTTATGGGCTATGCAGCGTACTCTACAGCTTGACTAATTCCTAATAACTTGTGCCCAGGTACGGACTTTACTGGAAGTGAGCATAACGATGAGTTCTATATGGATGAGGCTGGAAATGTGAGGACACGAACTAATCGCTCAGGCGGTGTTTCAGGTTTTATCCTAAAATCCTATTACTCTACTTCTACATTTTTGTGTGATATAGTTGCAGTTCAGATGAAATTGTGGACTTACTATTTTTTACTTGTATGTGCATGCAGGGAGGGATATCGAACGGTGAAATTATTTACTTCAAAGTGGCTTTTAAGCCAACAGCAACTATCGAGTAAAGGCATCTCAGTTCAAAACTTCCTTTCTTTGCTTCCTTAAAATGTTAGCAGTGGCATAATTACCATATAATGCCTTTTGAATGATAATACAGAGTAATGCTGTGAATACAGTTGGAACCACTAATTTATCAAAAACACATTTTTGTGACTACCATGAATGTTAGAATATTTACTTGGTTCAACATCTGCAATTTCTTTTGTATTCAATAATGGCAGTATGGTATAGTTATCTTTTACATGATTCCAGCTACACTTCTGCTACTTGTGAAAAGTTATAGCCAGTTGTCTGATATATTGATTTCACTTTTCCAGAAGAAACAAAATACTGTATCAAGGGAGCATGAGGATGTTGAACTTTTGGCAAGGGGGCGCCATGACCCGTGTGTTGTCCCTCGAGGTAATGGCTCCACCAAAAATTTCCTACCTTTTATCATCACTTTTGGTCCCTATGATCTGATGTTTTTTTTATTCTGTTACTTCTGTAGCTGTTCCTATGGTGGAATCCATGGCTGCGCTGGTCCTGATGGACCAGCTCATGGCGCATATTGCTCAGTGTGAGATGTTTCCGCTGAACCTTGCCCTACAAGAGCCCATTGGCTCTGCTAGCAGTGCATCTGAACTGGCACCAAGCCTATCATAATGTCTGTCGTGGAACATGGCCCTCCAGTTTTCCTTGTATGGAAATTCTGGGCTTTGCTAAGCAGTTTGCAGTTTTGAACCAGCATAAACCCTCGATTATTGTATCTAGAGATTATAAAGTGAATGAATATCGAGATGGAAATGCATTAATGTTTTTGTGATGTGTATAGTATAACAGATATTTACCCTTTTCTTTTTTGGTGAGAGGACGCATGATGTCGTTTGAGCAATAAAGTTTTTAATTTATTTATTTTGGGAGAGATAATAGTGTCTTCCATATGATGAGCACTTGAACAGCCTATATTAAGGAATTTTTCTAAGACCACTCGTATGTCGCTTGGAGTTTGAGATTTCCCCCATAAGTCTGTTTTGCTGCTTCGTCCACCCCTGCTTAGCTTTGATGAAAAAACGCCCCCACCACACTTAATTTTTTTTTATATGTAGAGCCATGAGAGGCCCAGTTTGTTTAAAGTGCTAGGATTGAGTTTAATCATCATGTTGTCGTGAACATTTTATGGAAGTAGCAAAAATCAGGGTAACAATGTTTAAGCTCTTATCGGTGATTCTTTTGGTGGAATATCTAAAAGGTGTAGGGGGTATATTGTGGTAAGCGTCTAATAACCCTGATATAGACTGAATTGGTGGTTCCAGTTTGATGAAAACGGGTTGAATTGGTTAAGGGTGCGTTTGGAAGGAGGAATCGGATCCGTTTCTAGGAAGAATCGGTAGAAACGGTTGCAAACGGTTTCCAATGCAAAGAATCGGAGGGGAACCATTCCCCTTATATATACCTTTGTAAAGTCTCAAAACGGCGATGGGTGGTTTCACACCGATTCGTTCTCCCTTCCGACCCCATCTGCTCTGTTTCATTGAAAGTTACCGCAACTGCCACCGAGGGATGGACCCACGGACATCAGGACGTGCCGCCTCCTCTACCGATTTTTTTTGTTTTTTAGCCATTTTTTGAATTTTTTTCACAAATATGCCCCTGGAGGTATGCTTTCAAAATCTAGACCCTTAGCTCGGCGCCATCGTTGGTGGCGCCGAGCTTATACGTCTCGGCGCCATAGATTTTGGCGCCTAGGTCTTGGGCTCGGTGCAGACGTGGCGGTGACTTGACAGGCACCTTGACGCCATAGATCTTGGCGCCGTGGTTATTGGCGCCGAGCCCTGTCTTACGTATGGGCCCTCCCTTCCTTTCTCTCTTCCTCTCTCTCTACCGCTCCCAAGCCAGCGCCCGCCGCTGCGCGTAGCCGCGCCCGCGCCCGCGCTGGGCCCCGCTGTGCCGGCCGCCCGCCGCCCCTCCCGGCCCGCGCCGCCTCGTCCATCCCGGCTCGCCGCGCGCATAGGCGCTCCCTCCAGCGACCCCGGCCGCGACACGGCCCCTACTCCCAGCTTGCCGCGACCTCGCCATCGATCCCGTCCTCCGCGTCCCCGTCCTGCTCCGGTCCCAGCGTCCGCGTCCGCGTTGCATTGACTTGGACATGTAAAATTTTTGAATATACAACGTAGGTACTTAGTTAGCTTGAATTGTAGTGCTACTTTGATTATTTGGTAGCTTCTAGTAAATTTGATGATGTAGGTAGTTGATTTAGTTAGTGAGATAGATATAGTTAGATAAATATAGTTAGATAGCTAGTGACATAGGTACATAGATATAGTTATTAGATATCTAGTTGATTTAGTTAGTGAGATAAATATAGTTAGATAGTTAGTGACATAGTTATTTAGGATGTAGTTGGTTAGTATATATTAGAGAGGTACTATATAGTAGCTACTTTGGACTAAACGAGCTGTATTTCAATTTATGTTTGAACTACTAGATGGACAATCTAGTGAGCATATATTATGGAGGCACCGTGGAAAGAGATTGCTATGGATATGTTGAGTTTGTTGAGATGCAAAGCGTGCCTGTGTTATTCAATGAGAAGCCTTCATTTAGTGAGTTGGTTGCAAGGGTTCGGGAGGAGCTACATTGCCATGGAGTTGATGATGATGATGGCATCGCAGTGGAGGGTGTACTTCACCTAGGTTCCCCTCCCAACATCCTAAGGAAGATTATCCCAATTGAGTGTGCAGACCAGTGGGAGAACTATATGAGATCGGTTATGAAGTGTCAGTTCCAAAGTTTGGACGTGGTTGTGCATCAGGTGTTAGTTGATCCCATCCCTTATGAGTTTTCCCCACCAATGGGTCAGCAGACACACTTTGACCCTCCCGTCCCGGAACCTGATATGGATGTGGAGGTTGCATCTACGATTCTCGATGCTCAATCTGCCCCTAATGAGCTAGTTGGAGATGCTTGTTAGACTCATGATGTTGTGGCAGATCCTCCTCATGAGATCCCTTTGATACAGAATCATCCGAGTAAGTGTCTTATCCGCATGGTTATTGGAAGCTTACCCCCTTCCTTACATCCATTTTTTCATTCTTTTGTCATTTTTCTACTTATGTTGCAGGAGAAATTCCTAACAATGTGGATGTGCCCGCTGTTGCTGAGCAAGTTCACCGTGGAGATGGATTCTGTGGCTCCAATAATGTTGAAATTATGAATGATTCGGATCCATATGAGATGGCAAGGGCTCTTGATTCTGATGATGATCGTCCTGTTGGAGAGCTGACAGAGAGTGATGTTGAGATGCTGAGGCGTATCTTTCCCGGATGATCATCCTGTTGGAGAGCCGACATAGAGACGACTTCTATAGGATGAGGTGCCCTGTAATATGTTTCTATGCTGTCGAGTTCCACCTGCCAGATAGAGTTGCACGCTAATTTGGAGTGAGACAGCTTTGGCCAACGGCTCCGTTCTCGACTAGGCGTTGACTTTACACAAGTAAGTGTTTTGCTATTTCAATTGTCTCATGATGGTCCATTTCCATTAATTCCTATATAAGATGAAGTAATGATGACATACGTGCACTTTTAATATGGTGACATGTACATGGATTGAGATGAATGTGCGTGTATGGACATTTCTTGTTCTCATCATTATGACAAGTTATAGGACTATGGGTTCAACCCATGTCGTGATCTGTTTTCTCTTCTTTCTTTGAAATCCACGTGGTAACATTTTCCATAGTGAAGCTTACATATGATGATACGTTACGTATGATTTCTTCAATCACTCTATACCTTTCTTGGGAAGCTTACATCAAATAGTCGCGTCATATAACTTAGGCGCCATCGTTTTACAACATCAATTTCATACCTGCTAGAAACTAACATCTTACGTGACATGCAGGTTGGATCGTCAGAAGAACAGAAAGATTTTTTATTGGGAGAAGCACCACCAGTACTACATTGAGCAATGGGAGCTGTTGCACGACAACGTGGACGAGAACAACGAGCCACACACGAACCATGAGTACAGGCGCTACCAAGCTTGGTACCAACGTGCGACACGTTGCAGGCTGAGGCTATAATGGACAGAAGATGACTACGTCGACATCGAGTCCTCCGACGATGAAGACATGGCGTACGACCAAACTACTCGTGTAGGAAGGCAGGTGGAGGCAAGACCAATCTTAGACAGAGTGGTAAGTCAATTGCCTTATTTTTCTATGTTAAGTTGCATACCAATACATTCTGCGTTTGAGGTCTCTATTTTAGTTAGTGGCACCTTCGAGTCGTAGCATCCTTATAATTCAGTACAACAGATGGAGTTGAGGAACTGGTCAGGAATTAACTAGTACTCCATACTAGATTAGTAGCGTCCTCATTTTTTAATGTCCACCACAATCTTACTGTGAACTTTGTTGTAGGGCAATACCCTCAAATGCTCGGTTGAAGACATTGAGCGCTTTCATCCGAGAGTCAGGAACGACGACACACGTAGCTTCCTAGACATAAGATTTAAAATATTCTTTGAAATATATTATTAATACGCTAAATTCTTTCAGTTAACATTATTTTATACAACAGAGACTGTCACATCGGCTACGCCGTGCGGCTACTTATTGTGATTGCAGGACAGCCACGACGCAAGACGTACACATTCCTTCCATAGGCAGAGGAGACTTAGGTTCGCCTAGCCAAGCACCTACAGGGTCCATAGGCATTGTGTATGAGGACGAGGACGAGGACAAGAACAACGATGAGGTGGACCAGAGGCATAAGGAGCTTGGCCCATCTCAGCTCCAGGACGCTCCCTCGACTTAGCCTACACAACCTTCAGGCGCTAGGCGACGCCATCCACCTGACCCTTACACTCCAGGCACCGACGCTCTTGGTCATAAGGGTAAGGGTAAGACTAGGAGGCAGTGAGGGTTTGTGGTAGATGTTATTATGTAGTATTATGGACTTTGTGGACTTTCATTATTAACTATTGTGGACTGTATGGACTATTATTATCGAATATGAACTACTATGAACTACAATTATGGACTGTGTGGACTATTAATATGCTCATGTATATGGTTTTAGATGAATGAGGCATATATTTATATGTTTGTACATGTTCTATTGAGGTTAAATATTCATCTCATATTTGTGTATGGATGGCATAAAAAAATAGGGAAAATTATGGCAAAATTTTCTGCCTAAAGTACGTATTAATCAACGGCATCAGTTTTTTCGGTTCAAAATAGTGATTGAAGTCTGAAATCGAATAGGCATTTTAGTCATGGAATCTAGGGGAAATAACATTTACAGTGATTTGTCATGTCACCGTCGAATAGACTTTTTAGTGTCCTTCGAAATAGTGATTGAAATTTGAAATCGAATAGGCTTTTCAGTCATGCAATCTAGGCTCTCCAGTGTCCTACGATGTAGGCTTTTCAGTGATTCTGAGTAGACTTTTCAGGAGCATTTACAGCACAATACAATGGCTAGCAAACCTGCCTTGGCCCATATATATGCGTTCTAGGATGCAATGCTAACCAAAAGGAAAACCAAACTAGTATTCATTTTCGTTGGAGTAGGAATGTCTGGAGGGTCATCTAGAGGAAAGGGTTTCGGGAGTGGGAGAGGAAAGGGGGGACAAAGGGAACTCCCATTGTGTGG